CTTAAATGCATAGAACTTTGGACATCGAATCTCGAAACAAGGTATATATGCCAAAGGTTAATTCAGCTTGATACTTATACAATATCGTGTTGACGAGTCATATAATGAGATCAAAAGGGTGAACTTCTAGATCAAAATTCGAAAAAATAAAATGTTTAATCTTCTTTTGTGAAGTCGGATGTATAGGTTGTCATTTTTTTTTAAATAAAAGATAAATATAGGATTAAGATTTTTGCAGTAATAGGTCAAGACATCGATATTTCATATAATAACAGGATATATTTATTACAATTATTTTCTAATCACATGCAAATACAATATTGCTAATAATCGGGTAGGTTTTAACATTTGTTTCTTCAAAAAATTTTATAGATGAAAAGAGAGGTATAGTTCAAATTCACTAGACAAATGAGTAAGCTCAACATTTCAGAGAGTAACTTGAGCCTCGTTACCTGCTCTAATTCCTTCATTAATAGCAATTACTATCGACAGATTCAATTCAACAGTCTTGTCTTTTACTCTTCCACTCTGAGTCTTTATCGTTTTTCGTCAACTGTGTGATAGGAAGACAACAAGATATTCAATTTCCAACATTTATTTTCTGTTTATCAAAAAACAAAACTCAGAAGAATACCGGAAAAAAGTAAAAAAAAATTCAACAATCATTAAAAAAAACAAGACTATATATAAAAGTGAAAAGTGAACTTAAATTAGTCATATGTTAGCTCTACGGGAAGAAGTAAGTGAGGAAAAACAGAGAAGCAGAGACAGAGAAGAAGATAATAAAGAGAAACAGAATGTACTCTGTACCTTCTGCTAATCAAGCTCAAGAGAAAGAGAGGCACCGCGCGGCGAGGTGGTTCGAGAAGATCTAGTATTCAGCAGTTGCTCACCTAGGTCTTTAATTTTCTCAACTAAACCAGCCACTAATGGATGAGAATTATTACTATCATCTTCACTAATATTTTGCGTCATCCATTCGTTAATAGGAATTCTAAAATCGTGCAAAAGACATTCGGCTCCTTGAACGACTGTTTCTGCGATTGATCCCATGTCAGCCTCCTCCTCTTCTTCCGACTTGTTCTCCATTTCATTCTTGATCATATTCCCCAAAGACTGAGCACACCAGTTGAATGTTCTGCTATCAGTAATATTACGAACATTTTCTTTATTCGATTTTCTAATAGGGTTTTTCACGTCGCCAGATAGCTGGGCCGCAAATTGAACACCTTGAATAAATGTCTTTTTTATATATTCCTCAGGAGGTGCTTCAATGTCTTCGTAGATTTGTTTCACCAATTGAATCTGACTTTCTTGAATTGATTTTACATCAGGATCTTCAGTGCCTTCCCAAACTTTGTTCACAAGTGAAACACTCCTATCTCGGAACGAATCAACAGTACATTCATCCAAACCGTCCAAGAACTGCTGTTGTAAACTATTAATTTTGTTATTCAATGAACAGACTAGACCGCAGAACGAATTACTATTGTCATTTTTATTAATCTCTTCTTTCGTTGATATTTCAGCAGCTTTCAAGTCTTCGTCTTCTTCTCCGCAGAGTTCTAGAGTAATAATCCATAAACCCTTGCTTTCATCATGTTTACGTTCTATCAGACGAAAAACGGTGCCCAGCATAAATAAAATTTCTTGTTCTTCGCTACCAGATTTGCTTATATATGCGTATGGTTTGTTCTTGAGTGGTTGATAAGTTTTAACTTCGATTACGAACAGTACTCCAACGAGACCGCTTGATTCTAGTGGTGGACCTGCGTACACAATGGCAACTTGTTGACTTTTAGAAGTAGAGAAAAAACTATCGACGGATATTAGTTTTCCAACAGTCAATCGTTGAACTTCTCTAGGTTGCATTTGTTGACCACGATAAACCGTCAGTGTACGCAGAAAAGACGCTTGTTCTTCATACAACATCTTAAGTTGTTGATAAATATCACGAATATAAAAACGAAATGCAAACGAAACATCGAAGTCTGGTGTACGTATGGCTTTATTTAGTTCACGATATAAAAATGTATCTTGTGTATACCAATGGATCGCATTTTCAGCACAATATTTTGCGTCAAATTCGTTAATATTGGCGAGTTGTCTTTGATTCGTGGCATACTTTTCACGCATCAAATTGATTAACTGACTCTTGCCATTAGAAGCATCTGATGGGTTTATAATCGTTTCTATATAGTGTCGGCACCAAAAGAAATCAGAATTCGATGATACAGAAGAATGTTCAGCACGTGGACTATAATCATATATTTGTACAGTTCTTCCCAATCGGTGATCTTGACCATGATCTTCTTGAAATGGCGTGAATGACTGTGAGGTATCAGTATTTTTAATATCATCCTGGAAAAAAAGCACAGAATTTGAAATCAATGTGGAAAGTTTATCTAGTAGCATGTCTTTCGGTTAATTTCTGCGAAAATTTGCTCAAATTCTCTTGAAGTAGCAATTTCACAAGACTTTTGTGGAACTCACATATATTTTCGAAGAAAATAGTGAGTGTAAGTTTTAAGTTCGAGATTTTGCGGCTCCCCCCC